GGGTTCAGGGGTACGATGGTAAGCAGAAGTTGCCTGTACCCCAAAGGATAGAGAGGTTGTTTATGTGAAAATGTAAATAGTAGCCACAAAATCAAAATGGAGAACATAGTGAGATGGCAAAATTGAAACTGAATTTTTTTACCTTCAATTCGTCTATCTTCTCATTCAACCTCGTCATTTGAGCACTATGAGACTTTGAAACAGTACGTTGATGGTTACATATGATCGCAACCTACCAAAAGCAATGTGCAATGAACATTATAACTAGTTCAAGAAATAAAGTCTGACGAAAGTTGATAGTAATTACCTCCTTGTTTGCATGTTGGTAAACGACTAGATTTTGAGCAACATCTCCTCCCTTCGTTTCCCTACTCAACTGCAATCAGCCGAAAATAACAACAGAGCAAAAGAATGGGTGTTCGATCACTTCCGGAGTTGAAGGTAAAAATCTACCACAAAGTTATACACTATATCTCATAAAACTACAGCATTTTCCTTTCTAGCACTAGTTGCTTGCCTATTGTCATCGTACAAAGGATTGACCATTTTGGTTGAAGGGTATTTAAGATATTTGGGTAATAGTCAAATATATCTCTCAATATGTGTGTGATGAGAGATTGCAATTTTCATGGAAGTCAGGGCCATACTTCTCAAAAGTACAAAGTTCAAATTGATACTTCTTAGATTTAGCTCTAAATTATTCTATCATAATAGATGTTGTATAGCTTTTAGTATAGTTGGCATTTTTTCCTAAACCCATGATAAAACTTGTTATTTTTGAAGTTAAAAGAGTAACTCGTTTTGACAAATAAAAAGTCAAAACTTGGCTAACATTATGGCGGAGGTAGCATCAAAGATGCTAAATGAAACATGTTGAGGACCATCCAAGGAAACTGCAACATTTATGGACATAGTTTAAAGGAAGTGTTTGACTATTTATCAAATGCAAAAAGAGGGGTTTGTGTAGATCCAAATTAATATCATGAATTTTTGCAATTATGACGATGCGGAAGTATGCAGATGTACCTTGAAAACTTCCCCAAAATAGAACTGATGCAACTTTTACAGACATCCCAAAATACAAAAAATATTGCAATTTCCATGGAGCAGAAAGAGCATAAAATATGTTAATCAGGAAGGATCGCCAATATTTGCATCTTACCATATCATCCAATGTGATGGACGCATTATAAGTACGGAAAACTTTTGCAGTAAGGCCAGGCATGAGTTCCTTTAGATGAGCATTCAATTTACTTGTATCCAGCTTGTCAAAAAGATCATCAGTACCCTGTTTACCTGAGTTACATAGAAAATAGTCAAAATCATGGTAGAAGAGACGGAAAAAACTGATACTATCAAAAGAACATGTTGACTGACCTGTTCGGAATTGTTGAATTGCTTTGAACACAGGAAGCTCTACTTCAACCTCATTTTGATATCTTATAGAATCTTTACCAAGAAAGTCGAACTGGAGAAACATCAAACCTTATATCATTATTTGTTTTCTAGCTGAATCCAAGAATTTGCATTAAAAATTACAATATCTAAGTGGCATTCCTCCATGATGCTATGAAACAAGGAAAAAAATAACATATGAAGCTAGGCATGCCCCCACAAGAAAAGCTCCACAAGAGTGAGAAACAACTTTGGAAGACATCATATAATAGATGATAATAAAAAAAAAAGCTATCCTGGTTAGAAAAGCCACAGAAGAACAATCTGACATCAAGAGAAGACCAAAAACTTGCATCCAGTGCTATAATAAAGACCCATATACATAATAACTACTGAGATATCACAGGTTGCAATCTGCTTTTTATCATGTTCATAACAATATTAAATAACACCCACATGTCATTTGCCCATTATTATGGAATTTCTGATTTCTCTCTCCGGATATAAGACCCGACAACACTCGAGTAAGTTTATGCAAGTATATTTCATCGGTATGACCCCCTAATATTATAATAAGGCCCTCATAATAAGAGACAGGTACCAACTAAGTGGTCATAGATCTATAATTCCTATAAGTACATGAAAATGCTCTGTTGAAGGAATTCTTTTATGCCATTTGATGTTCAACATTTTCATTGTCTCATATGGTGCAAGTAGAAATGAAGATGTAAGCACGTTGAGGTGGGATCCACAAATGGAGAATGGGGAACAAAGAATGGAGTTAAATGGTGTAAATGAACAGTTAAGATTTCAACGTTAGCATCTTTCCTTGTTTGAACATGCAACTATGAAGTCTTAAGCCGTGGTGTAGAAATCTCTTATCTAGTGAAAAACTAAAAAAACCTTTAAGATATTTGGAGGTTTTGGCTCGACATTTTCCACTTTCAACGTGCAGCAGCCTACTGTATCAGCTTCATCATCATCCTGCAAGCACCAAAAGTTGTAAGCAACCAACTTTGAAGGATTGTTCTCTATTCTTCCACTCCTATTACGAACATATGCTTGTGATCAACTTATTTGTTCTTTCAGTAAGGCAAAAAGAACAATGAAGAGACAGTAAGCCAACATTCTCAGAAGACAACCATACAAGTGCATGCTTGCATACACATGCACACTAAAACCTTTAACTACTCCATCCCATAATCAGTATCAACTTCCATTTCCCAGCACAACTATCATTTGCATGAGCATATAGTTTGATGCAACTGTTTTGTCAAATACCTAAATCTCGTACATTGACAAAATAGACTAATCTAGCGAACCAAAATCAATGCTCTAAGTATTCACAATGGTTATAAAAGAGCAAAAAGTAAATCAGAATGAAATTTTACCAAAAATGGAATGTTGCATTAATTATGGAAACTCCAAGAAAATTCATTGCATTTATTTGGGATGGAGGGAGGACATCCCAAGATTCTGTCCAAGTTCCTTTCTATAACTTAAAGCTTTCCCTACTTTCCAGTGTCCATTTTGTAACTAAATAAAATATAAAACCCCAACTATTAAGAAATGTTATAGCATGGGAAGTTGGGAATCATAAAGCCCATTAAACAACAAGCCAAATATAAACCTACTCCAAAGCGTGCAGCTTTTAGAATGAAGAGAGGATATCTATCTAGTACATTAAGACCTCTACTGAACACAGAGCAGAAGTAATATAGAGGACAGAAATGAAATCAACAACATTACCTTCTCATTTCCCGCCCTGAGTGCCAGTTTATCGATGAGATATGTAGCCACTGCTACTTGCCTCTTTGTCAGATCCTTGTTTCCAAAATCTCTAGTGTAAGCATTTCTAATGCCTTGTATGTAGCCCTATATAATGAATTTGAGGCATGAGTGAAACACGAAAAATAGATACAGTAGCATTTGCCAGAAATGTGACACATAACAAAAAGTTTGCGACTTGTGAGCAACATTCAACTGGCCTACCTTCAACATCCTCGCCTTCTCATATTTTTCCTTATCGCTTTGACCCTTCAAAGAACTGCTAGCAGCTAAGAACACATACTTGAATTCCTTTGAATTGATTGGGTCATTCCAATATGCTAACCAAGTGACCGTATTATCATGCCTAATTTCTTTCCAGCTGCAAGATATCAGATTTATCTCAGGTAGATATCATCTAGAAGTAAGGGCATCCTTCTAGCTTAAGGGGAAAAACAGAAAAGGAACATGGCAAACCTTTCACCAGGAATCGGACATTCAGGGATTGGAGCATCCTTTCCAATGTTTATGGTAATATCACTTGGATGGATACGTTTTTTCAGCTTTCCCATCTAGAAAAAATGACAACTGTGATTTGCTGGAACTACAGAAAATTGTAGCTACAGATGAAACTATTACTCCCTTTCCCATAAAAATTGCAACATTTGACTTGGCAATATTAAGTGAAATGTTTGACTATTTGCCAAACGTCTAAAACACCCTTCAATGAAGACAAAAAAAAAATCTTACAGACCCAAATCAATACCATCAAGATTTTTGTAATGATGATAATGGGAAAATAGGTAACTTTAACTTGGAATTTATTTGAAAGGGAAAATTTTGCAACCTTCATGAGACATCATGTAAAGGAAAGGGTAGCAATTTTCATGCGACACAAGGAATAATTCTAATTGGCTAAACTTAAATATATTACATTAGAGGGATAAATCTGTCATTCGAACCTTTGGATGTTCTCCACGGCCTCGGAATAATCCAGGTGGCTCAACTCGGAAATTCCCAACCTACACCATCAATTCATGAATATTTATTTAGCGATTAAAATGAAAAATAAAATAAACACGTAGTACATTTAAAACCTTAGTTATATGCATGACCAATCACTAAACTTGGTAAAGAGAACCCCATAAACAATTTCTCGACAATAGTTGCAGAGGGAAGCATGATTGGTTCTCTGTGCACTCAAACAAGTTACGAACAGAAAAATCAACGGAAATAATTTCAATAGCAACAAATGTTCCTTTCTAGGACAATATCCACATATAAATTGATAGAAGTCAATAATAAAAGTCACCTTCTCTTTGACGCCATCAACAATTGCCCACATATACTTCTCCTCTAGCTTCATCTTCTCTTCTTTCAAGGCCTTCTTCTCCTACACAAAGCAACTCTTGCATTAACAATCGTGCTTGTCAGATAAATTATCTCGAAAGCCATACCAAGAGATCATATTGGGCATTAATAGAACTGGCACGACTAGACTTGCTCAAGTAATTGGAACTTGCTTGGGGTAACCTAAACACCTTGCATTCAAGTTCCACATTTGCATATTGGCCAATGAAGTGAATTTTGGGAGTTGCATCAACGGGTAGGCAGCTAAAGTTCACCCTTTGGGTAAAGTTTCCGAGGTCCATAAAAATATTGGCACGACAACAACAATTATGTCAAATCAACAGCCCATTTTGTCATATTATTACTCCTTTTGGTTTGGTTTATTATTCCTGAGTGACTGGAACATAGTTCAATATACAAGTTTTTGACTATTAGACAGATGTCTAAAATGACGACAAAATAATCTAAATCTTAAAGACGAAATCAAGAATATCAATATTTATCATGATTACTAATAGACAAAAGATAATCTTACAAAAATCAGTCAAATATCTAAAGCCCCTCCCAATTGAAAAAAATAGAGTGAACTTTGCAGACCACTAGCGAATATAATATTCTGTGATGATTACTAGTAAGCAAAGAGCTAACTTCAGCTTCAAATTATGTCAAAAAAGAAATACGTTGCAATCAATTGGGACATCCAAAAAGAAAAAAAAAAACTTGTTGCATTAGAGAATGGAGTATCATAAAGAAGAAAGCCAAATTGATATGCTTAAATAAGAAAATTTTTGCTGGGCTCCAACTTCATGATTGGCATGTTCTGTTTAGTTTTATAATTGAGTTTCACTAGCATTTTAAGTTTTAAGAGGCATAGATTAACTACAATCTTCATCTCATACAAGTGTGAAGACTACTTGAAGGTTTATGGTGCTAAGAAATACTCCATGAAACCAACGCCCAACACTCTTATTTTTTTCTGGAGGGGGAGATTGGTTAATTGAACAAGAAATAGAAGAAACCCATTTCCAGTTTATGTTGACCAGGAGCATTCCCACAATCCTTCTTCCTTGTACCATGAAAAAATGATTTTCCTAGCAACTTACTTCGGTACTCATTTGCTTCTTCTTCTCCTTTTCCGTCTGATGCCATTCATAAATTGGTTTGAAATCACAGTCATCCAAATTCTGTATTGTGTGGTTTCTTCCCAGTATCTTTCGCCAGTCATCCCAGAAATTCTCTTTGAACTTTGGTTTTGTCATGTAATCTGTATCTAACATCACTGCAAACATTGTTGCAACCTGTAATGTATACCATCAAGCAACATAAGAACACGATAATCAGAAATATGTACAACTAGTCTCTGTAGAGTTAAATCCTATATAAAAGGAATGGAAATCGCAAAGATATGTTAGGTTCACCTCCTCCTGTTCAGGAGTCAAATCAACAGGCTTCCCTTTGTAGAGAATCTTAACCCCATGAGGCTTGTATGCAGGTGGGAAAATTACACCGCTATGAACCAAGCTTGTCCACTTCTGCCCTTCACCAGAGCCAGGGGGGACCTTTGATGGCTTAGAATACTTTGAATTTTTCACCACCTTCTTCGACTTCTTGTTGGTTTCTTTTAACGAGGAATTCTTTTTTGTCACTTTATGTTTTACAGATGAAGATTTACTACCTGATGGGGCATGGTTCTTGATTCTTTGTGATATGGGAACATCATCTTCCTCATCATCATCCGACTCAGTTTCTGCTTTTAAAGGTACCTGTTTGCGGTTGATTGGTGTTGAAGATTCTGAAAGCTTTGGCTTTTTAGCCAATGACTGACTTGAAGATCTTTCCTCATCTAGTGGTCTCTTAATCGAGCCAGTACTCCTAGATTGATTATCCCTTGATGCAGAACCATTTTGATGAACTTTCGACGTGAGTGTTTTATCATTGTTAGAACCAGAATGCTTACTGATAGATGATACCACATTGGGTTTGGATATATACTTTGACGACAAAGGTTTTTCATCATCAGAATCCTCATCTTTTACTTGTGGTTTTGGAAGTGGAGACACATTCATACATGACCCTTTTTTAGCATGATTGGTGTTCCCCTTTGATACAGTTGAAAGTCTAAAACTCAGTGGTTTATCATCTTCAGAATCTGTTAAGTCATTGCTCGGTTTAGGAGAAGGTCTTAAAGACTGGGAAGAACACTTAACCTTATCAGCTTTCGAGCTCCTTCTAAAAACTAAGGGTTTATCATCCTCATCAGATGAATAATTCATTTTCAGTCAGTGTGTTGTCATATAGCACTTCAATCTCTGGAGTCCTGTACTTATTGCTTTTAATTGAGGTTGACCAACCTGTAAGAAAATAAAAGAAAACGAAATTGTAACAAAAATGAATGATACACAGTGTCCACGGAACATTAAAAGAACAGCCTATATGCAAGTAGCCAAGAAGCTCCAGGTAGCTTCAAGAAAGAATGTAAGTTTTAGTGTCATGGCTGAAGGGCATTGTGACTAGAAGATCATGATTCATGAGTTCAAGTTAACGAAACAACCCCTTCGGCAAATACAAAAGATTTGGCTACAAAGGCACCCCTCCCAAACCCTCACAAAGCTAGGGAGCCTTCCTCCTCTGGGGTTGCCCTTTCTATTGTCATGGCTTATTTAACAATCTGTATATGTACAAAGTGGGATATAAGTACATATTAGGATACGACTCCAGCACCTACTGTAAAACTCATTAAGGAAGCTACACAGCCAAGTGACCTTCTAGCTCATAATCCCGGAACCGCCTAAGCACAAATTAGCTGGATGAATACGCAGTACATTTGAATACATACTCCTTTCATCCCAAAGAAAATGCAACACATCCTATGTTGGGTTCTCCTAAAACATTTCCTTTCTAGTAACGTTTCAATCCCAATTTATCAACTTGCCCATTAGAAACCATTAAAAGTATTGGTGAGATCGATTGTGGTCCACAGGTTTTTTCAATTTGGTCTTACTTTGAGGTCATTTAGGTATTTGATCATTAGTAAAAGGGTTGGAGAAAGCATAATATACTAATTTCCAGATAATGAAAACATATGTGAGTTGAAATCTTGATCAATTAATTTTCGAAATGACTGGTCTTATTGTTCCCTTAATACATCTATACAAAAAGGCTTTGACAGATTCCCTTAGAGTTGAGGAAACTAGTTGACGAAAAGAAGTTGAATGAATTCAGTTAATTCCCCTTTATTTTCTCAAACGGATAACCCCTAGGTAGCCAATTAATCAATCCTAACTACTAGAAGCACTACGGGGATGGCGGGTGCTTTATGCCTGGGAAGCTTTTTTAAGCGGTCCAAAACGGGAATTTTTGGAACACCCGACTCTGGAAATCTGAAAAATAGGGGATATAGGTAAATGTCATGAGATTCAGAATTTCGTTGGAAAATGCAACATTAATTCATCAAGAGCATCCTCCTTTAGTTCCGCTGTATACACGTTTCAATATGCCATCATGTTCATATTGCACAATCAAGACCTCGCTAGATAAAATCTAGAATGAAAGGTTGGATTTTAAAAATCAGTTGATTATCTAAAATTCAATATGGCATAGCATACAGCTACATTCAGTAAATTTTAGTCATCAACTAAGAACTCATGGGTATTCCCTTCCACAAAGAAGAGTGTTCCATACTATCATTTTGTTTTGTTTTACAGAACACAAGTATATGTAAAACAAATGCAACAGTATAACTACTTCAATTCTTCAAACAGCAATCTTTAAACGGCAATCATACACCAAAAGCTCCTGAGCCCTTTTAGGATCAATAACCACTCACCCACACAATTAAAGTTGCAGGAAACCGAACCCAAAGTATGTACAAGGTTTAACCACTTGTCTAAACCCACAGTCATTGTGATGAATCTGATTATATAATTGATTAATTCAGTAGTACATAAAAAGAGAAAGAATGACACCATTTATATGCAGAAAATCCTAACAGCTAAACCCAAGAGAACTTCACTTCTAACTATCTTAACTATCTGTTGCAACCGTTTTCTACAAAATTTGGGCATATTAGAAGTTGTAATCCAGTTAAGGATCCAAATCGGGCTCCATATCCAACAAGTGTTTTCTGAGGGTTGGGGAATGTGGTGTCTTAATGCATTTTGTCCTTGCATTTTCTCAAAAAGGGTATTTCCATGACTCAAACTCTTGACCTTCCTTAGCAAATGAGTAATCTTACCGGTTGCTCAAAGGCTCACCTCTAAATTACAATCCTTTTTGTGGTAAAATTTTGAGATAGTGGTATTTCACGACGAAAAAGTCATTACAAAACTATAATGCATAATGAGGGTTTGTGTACAGGGCTAAATAAGAAAATCATGCAAGCACCCTGAAAAATTCAATATTAAGTTCAGAAACACCCTGTTAACAGATTAGGGTTTGTGGGTTACTAAATTAATCATGGTGCAATGGTCCAACTCCAAACATTCAAATGTAAATTCAAAGTCGTCCAACAGCCTACAAGAACATCCCTAAAATTAATAACATACATGAAATAGAAAAAAGATGACAGGATTCGTGAACTGAAAATGAACAAAATTCAGTTAGGTTATTATAGCACTAATTCAGAGTAGAGCTCAAAAACACATATTTTTCATGTTTCATCGAAAATCAAAATTACAACTGATGAGAATGTTTGAAACTATAAGAAACAAAACCCAGCTGAGATATCATCTAAAAGTTGCTAATTGTTCAATTACTTCGCGGTTTGGACTTCAAATTCTCTACTCTAAATGGTAATCGATGAAACAGAAAAAAAGGGTTCTACCAATTGTACGGCGGACAGAGGATGCTTGAACCCTAGATCCCGTTTCGTCTCCGATGATGTGAGAGAGAATTTCAGGGAGACCGAAGGAGATAGAAAGAGGGTTGCCGTACAGCACGAAAAAAGGAAGTGATTTTCTGTTTCGGGTTAAAGGTGATGGATCGGGTACACGAGTCTCTTTGCTACTTTGCTTATATGGATTCTTTACCTAATTATACAACATATTCATCTCCTTTTTTTCATCTATTGCAACAAGGGTGTTCACGGGGTCTTTGGGATTACTTATAAAAACAACTTATTGACTTATTTCGATGCGATACCGGTAATAAATATTTTTGAGTGTTTGGATAAATAACTTATACCGGTGTCAAACCGGTAATAAAGAGTTTTTGAAGAAGTTAAATCATTCTGACTTATAATAAATTGATAAGTGTTTTTGTAAAAAGTATAAGTTGTTTCAAATAAACAATCCCAAACACCTCTTATAGTTTAATTCGGTTTGATTAGTTGGAAAAATATGAACTAAATTATATAACACGGATATATAAATAACTGGGCTACTGTAGGTTGAATCGAACTGAATTGTAGGTTAATTTTATTATCTTATATATTATCTGGTTTGGGATGGGAATCTGCGGGTACCTGTAATTCAAAATTGACCCATGAATAACTAGTCTTTTGGGTTTTTGGTTTTTTCAGTTTTTGATTTTTTGTGTTTCGTATCAAATGGCATGGCTTTTCGGTTTCTCAGACTTTTTTAAACACCCTTAGCACTCAATCCCGTCCCAATGTAATATGGTATCAAATATGGGATAATAAATTTTTGGTTTGTCTTGTTTAACGTACAAAATTAATCAGCGTGAAAGCTTTTTTTTAACTGTTTACATTTGTTATATCAAAATAATTGGTATGAATATTTTAGTGAACTTATACGTTGAACTCCATCGAATCAAATTGTGCATGACGTTTAAACTGTGTTATCGATTTTATGTGGAATTTTATTAATAATATCTTTTGTCATTCTATTAGATTATTTATTTGGTTATTTCAGATAATAATTCAAACAGTTTTTGCTGATTTTTATATTTTGAAGATGTATTTATAACCATTCCTCGAATTTTCAAACGAAAAATAACATAAGAAAAGGCAAAAAGAACATAAAAAGAAGGCAAACAACCCCTTCATCTAACGTAGAAAATGAAACATACAAAAAGACAATGCAAATAATCCATCCGTCTAACGACCTTTGGCTTTGTTGCTCTATCTATTAGCACCCTTGCCTTCCCTCAAATCCTACTTTCACTCTAACTCCCTCCTTCCGAGATGGCCAAATGGGCCCGTTTTGGCTCGGGACAAGCGGAGGAACTGGACCGGGACCAGGACCGACTTAGGAGCGGACCGTCCGGGACCGATTAGGACCGTTTTGGGACCGTCGGTTATGGTTTTCATTCAAGAACAAGACCCGGCCCAGGACCGGCCCGATTTAAAAAAAAAGTTATATTTTTATATGTATTTATAACTTTATGAGTGTATTTGATTGAAAATCAAATTACAAATTTACAATAAAACATATTTTTAAGTGTATTTGATTGAAAACCAATTATAAAACTACAATAAAACGTATTTTTTAAGTGTATATGATTGACCTAATTAGATATGTTAAAGTGTATTAAAATAACATTAAAATATTTTTTAAATTTATCAAAAAAGAAATTTTAAAAAAATATAAAAAGAAAACGTTTTTTCAATATAAGACCGGTTTGGCCCGACCCAGGACCGGTTACAAGTACCCTTAACCGGAAATGGTTACATCGGGACCGATTCGATTGTTACTGTTTAAGTCCATTGGGACCGGCCGGCCCAAGACTGGTTTTTGGCCATGTCTACTGAACACACTAGCTACAAGTACTTGCCTCTTAAATTTACTGCCCTATCTTACGTCATTAAAGAACTTATATAAGATGTCATGCTCTTAGAAATGTCTAATGTTGTCATGTCAATCCTCAATTGCTCATCATACGTCCTCCTCGTCCAACCCCTCAACAATCACACTTCACTCTCCTCATCGGCACCGCCATTCGTCCCCTTCACATGTCCAACATGGTCTTCCTTCTCGAGTTTATCTAAGACATGTATAATTCTCAACTGCCCCAAAAGACCTTGTTCAAACCACAAGGGTAGTGTCTGATTGATTTGAGCTTGACTTCAAAGGTCAAAAGTATCAGAAGGTCCCAGCTTCAAATACAAAGAAGAATCAAAATCCCTTTGTGACCACGGAGGTTCAAATGTGGTGACTATGGGCTATTTGCAAAGCAGGTGGTCGTCCTGAAATTAGTCGGCTCGCATAGCAGGTTGGATATCCAGTTAAAAAAAACACCATGTTCAGTATCCCATCTAGCATAGTCCAATTACAAGTCCATCTAATGGCACATGGCACATGAACATGCAGATGGACATGCCATTTGGGTGATAAGATCCATTTGCATTATGCCATTTTACTTCAACATGCATACCCACTATCATATCTCTATTGCTTTTCCACATGACCCACAGATTAAAAATGTTAGACAGCCATATGACTCCATAGGATTCAGAAGATCTTATAGCAGAAGTCATGCAAACAAGCTCACAATGGCTACCACTACACAATATATGAAAACAATTTGCACCCTTCTTATATGGACTACATTACATTACATGTATAAAACCTGATTCATTTACACATCATGAGAAGTAATACATCACCCTCGTTGAGCATGCGAAAACCGAACACATATCAACGAATGAAACTTTTCTATAGATTTCTGTGTGTTCCAAATCTCGCCTTTTCTTCACCTGGAACCAACCAATATGAGCTTAACCAACGGAGTTTTCAAGCTTTATGCTCATTAGCTGGTTCACTTCAGCACCAAATTCATCAGGAAGCTCGTTGAACACGTCCCTGCAAAACCCAGATATCATGGCAGCCATGGCTCTCTCATAATCGATCCCTCTTTGCTGAAAATAGAAAAGTTGGTCTTCCCCAATCTTGGAAGTGCTTGCTTCGTGTTCTATACGAGCAGATGGGTTTTTGGCCTGTTTACAGAAATGAATAAACCATATAAATCTCAATAAAGGTTTTATGGTCGCGGTTCATCCATTTTAACTTAAACCAAACGCGCCCATAATATCCCGTCCAGAGATGGGATCAGTGAAAGTGTTTTTGTTACCAGGAAGCTTGTGCTATTGATGACTATCGATAGGAAAAACACAACCAAGGTGTGGAAACAACGTATCCCCGATCCAACTTAGGTTTCTGGTGCCTAACTACTTACTCACTGACCCTATCCATTTTCTGCTAGTTGTCTTCATTTCCGTAAAGGTGTTTCAATTATTTGACTACTGATTATATTTATTAACCACCTACAGAGTCGGATGATACAATTCTCATGGGGGTGAAGAGGGCATTAGTTAGCATCACGTAAAATAACATTGCAAGCATAACCATTACACTATTTCACAATTAACGATTGATTCTTTGTCCTATGTTTCACTAAACCAAATGAAACAAACTAACACACTAAATCCCACATTAAAGTAGTGCCTGGGAAAAGTAAAATGTAGGTGGTAGTTTCCTCTATCCCAAAGCGTTGATCGGTGGTTTCAGTGAAGACCCCAGGCTTGCAAAAAGAAAAGGTTTTGGCCAAAAAAAAGTGGGAACTTTTGGACAAGAAGAATCAAGTCTAATGGGCTTTTTGTGTTTACATTTCCCCAATTTGTCCCAAGATCACCAACTTATGGTGCTCTGTTGCCATATCCACAAGCACAATGGTTAGTTTGTAACAAAAAACCAAATCATTCTGCATACACTTGCTTAACCAACGAAACAAGTCCAGTATATCCCACCCGGATGTGGGGTCCGGGAAGGGTGAGATGCACGCGTAACCTCTACCCCAAAGAGTAGAGCTGTTGTTCCCGTGAAGTCCTCTGGCATGTGCATTCTGCATATACTTATGGATCGTTAATAAAATCAAGAAATATGCTAGAGCATGAGACTCGAGTTGAATACCTGGATGTAAGGGTAAGTGTTAGCAGCCGCCTTGTCGCCAATGAGCATGGAATCGCATTGCGATGAATTCTTAGCATTATCCGCTCGTGACTGAACCTGCACAAGACCCCTGTAACAATTCCTTGAATTTCCAGCCGAAATCCCCTTTGAAATGATCCTACTTCTCGTATTCTTACCCTTATGAATCATCTTTGTCCCTGTATCTGCCTGTTGACAATTATTAGTCAACGCAACCGAATAGAACTCACCCACGGAATCGTCACCCTCCAACACCACACTTGGGTACTTCCAAGTGATTGCAGATCCAGTCTCCACTTGGGTCCAAGAAATCTTGGATTTTCGACCAGCACAAAGACCCCTCTTTGTCACAAAATTAAATATCCCACCGCGCCCTTCTTCATCCCCAGCGTACCAATTCTGTACCGTGGAGTATTTAATCTCCGCCTCCTCATTACAATAGAGTTCCACCACAGCAGCGTGAAGCTGATTCGTGTCATAAGAAGGGGCCGTACACCCTTCTAAATACTCAACAAAACTCCTATCCTCTGCCACTATAAGAGTTCGCTCAAATTGACCGGTTTCCATGGCGTTTATTCTAAAATAAGTCGAAATTTGCATTGGGCATTTGGTGTCTTTAGGTATATACACAAAAGATCCATCACTAAATACAGCTGAATTCAAAGCAGCATAGAAGTTGTCATCAGGTGCAACAACTTTCCCTAAATACTTCTTAACTAAATCTGGGTATTCCTTAATAGCCTCTGAAATCGAACAAAAGATAACCCCAGATTTCTCTAGTGTCTTTCTGTGAGTTGTTGCAATAGAAACACTATCAAGAACAGCATCCACAGCAACATTAGCTAAACGTTTCTTTTCATTTAAAGAAATACCCAATTTATCAAAATACTTGATAAGCTCAGGATCAGCTTCATCAAGACTATCCAAAGTTGGTTTCTTTTTAGGTTCTGAATAATAACACATGTTTTGAAAATCAATCTTGGGGTAATCATTATCTGACCATTTGGGTTCGGTCATCTGACAGAATTTATGATAAGAGTTTAACCTAAACTCAAGCATCCAATCAGGTTCGTTTTTCCGTGATGAAATCAACCTAATTGTTTCTTCCGAAAGCCCTTTGGGGATCGTAAAAGAATCAATTTCTTGATTAAATCCCCATTTGTAATCTCTTTTAAGAAATTTCTGAAGTGGGTCATCATCAATTGACGCCAAATTTGAAGAATTACCTTCGGTGAGTGTGTCCGATTGGATTGTTTTGGCATCAGCTCTCAGCTTCAAGAACCTGGAATTGTGGGACTTCAAGTTCGTTAATTTACAAGAATTTTCGAGTTTCAAGCTTGACCCTTTTGAGATTTTAGGGGTTTCTGAGATGGGTTGTGGAGAAAAGCTTGAAAAAACTCCATTTGTGACCAGAGAAGCCATGGATGTAATCGATTACCCAATGATGCTTCAAGAAAACCTAGAAGAGACTCGATGATATGTTTTTATGTGGTGTGTAGGGCTTGAATTTAACATTCGTATGTCCACCACAAGCCTACAAATACTTACCAATACCGACTTGGGGATTACATATTATTTGTTCAAAAAAACCCCTCAGAAATATTATTTGTTCAAGAAAACCCCCCCTTAAGTTGTGAAATTTCGAATTCTTCACCGAAATAACCACTTTATTATTTTAGGTGACAAATACCACGTCTTTATTTTCAAACCCTATATTGGGTTCGTTTCATATGATTATTTAAGGGGTGTCTTGTTAGGGATATTAAAAGGTAATGAACGGGAATAACAACCAAACACCCACTTAGAATTATAAGGGTGGAATGAATAATGGTATGGCAGATGATTTGGCTTATTAGAGCGTGTAACTCTGCTCATCGAAAAGATCGAGACAGTAATATTCTTAAAAAGATCAAAACAGTAATATTCTTAAAAAGATATAACAACGGAGTTTAAACGGTGGAAGGATATACATGATCGAAATCTTGACATTTTTCAAGATAAATTTAGGAAAAGGTATAAATGATATTTTTATGTGGTGTGCAAAGCTTGATTTTCCACAAGCCTCGAATACTTACAAATTTGGCATACGTATTAATCGTTTAAAACCTCCGCAAAGATGTTCTCTTCGGCCACAAACTCCCTTAAATGAATATCGTGGATTGTTCATCGAAGCAACCGCTCTATTCTTTATAATAAAGGTCAAGTTTGCGTGCATCCTCCTTTGCATACCCTATCTTTAGGTGGATATGCTAGGTTCGTTTTGTTTAATTACATCGAATTGTAATGGCGGAACAGTTAACAGTACAACAGATGGTCCAACTTATCACAACTTGTCACTCCGTTCATCAAGATAATATAAATTTAAGCGGAGGAAAGATGTACATGACAGAAGTCTGATACATTTCAAAATAAATTTCGAAAAAGGTATAAACGAAGGTTTAAACTTTATTATTCTTGAAAGTTCTGCCATCATTTATTTAATCTACATTTCGGGCCCGTCAAAAATTTTGGTTTTCCTGAAACCTCTGTCATACCCACATCTACTTCAATGTATATCCCATAAATCTCCTTGCTTTTCAGAAGTTTTGCAGGACATCAGGTGCAGTGTTTCCCTTTCAACTCAATTACTCGTCTTTTTTGTCTTTGTTCTTTCTAGGAGCATATGCAAATCTAAGACCTTTTTACAAGTTTTCAAGAATTACGTTGAATTTGGAGTACCAAGTACTTCAAATCATATTCTTGGTTTGCTTCGGTTGTCTGACTTTCTAAGGGACCACGACAGTGTTCCATTTTAAAGAAAAGGGTGAACGGTTTTGACATCAAATCCCAAGATATCCAGTTAAAAATTTGTACTTCTGGCTGTTCACTTGATTATGATTTGACAGAACTCAACCAATGTATGTCATCCTATCACTGATTCAGACGCTGTCTTTTTTCAAGTCAGCGTCCATAAAAATCCTAACCATTTTGATTTGAAACTTCTCGTATGCAAATCAAAGCATCACGAACTCGAGAATTAATGTTTTTAGCCACACTACATAGTTCAGGGTTGATATTGACCAAAAGAATATGTTGAGGGGGTAAAGTTACAAATATCTACAACTTCATATTTTCTTTTGGATGTTGCTTAAATGATCTTGTATCATTCCCCACCCTTCATCTAATATAGTGGCTCCACAACCACTTTTTTTTTTTTTTTGCTTTTAATATTTTTAAATTTTAATTTAAAAAACAAAATAAATAATAAATACAAGTTTTTTTTTTTAAATATTAATATAAGAAAATACTAGTGTTATGGATGTATCTTTTTAAAACAGACTAGAAGAGTACTTACACAATACAGTGAAAAATATCTCGATTTTGGTATTTTATTTTTTTCATTTTATCTGTCGATATAATATGTTTTTATGTGGTTTTTAAAAAACGATGATGTTTTTGTTTTTGAATGAATTAAAAAAAATATTGATATTAGTATTAAATTAATTATTTAAATTTTCTTGTTTTTTATATAATTTTTTTAATTTTCAATTTGTAATATAATATATTTATATTTAAAGGCCGGTGTTCATTG